GGAGGTGGAAACCGTAGAGGGGAGAGAAGAGATCTCTGGGTTTAGCAAAACACATTGTGTTTTATTGCCATCTCTTGCCCCGCTGGAATTGCAGTTTCACATTGGTTAAGCGTCTCTGTGATGCCCACGTGGGCGCTGGGGCGGGGAAGGGTCTCTGGAGCTTTCTGCAGCGTGTGGCCTTGGGTGGGCACCATGGGCGGCCTGTCCCCGTGCTCCCCTCCTGGCCCCCCTGGGCACTCCAGACTAGTCCCGGGGTTGCACAAACCGCAGCTCGTGGGTCAAGCGCCGAGCTTTGAGGCTGCTGCAAAAATGCAGCCTTGAACTTGGTGAATTGAAACTCTGTGGGTCTCCTGCAGCCCGGGCAGGACTCAGCTCAGTGACAGGGAGGAATTCATGTTTGGCTGGGAAGACTTTAGCCAAAATGGGTGGGTTTGATTTTAGCAGCACAAACATCGTGGGGAGGGCGCTGGGGACCCCCTAATCAGCGGGGCTGTGCGCTCTGCTGCTGAAGTTCATCTGCTCCTGACAATTACAAGTATGTGAGAGGAAGAGAAGCAAACACTTTGCAAGTTTTATTTTGGAAACTTTCTTTTAAGAATAATTTACAAGAGTGCAACAAGCTTTGCAACTTTCTTATATTAAAATATGTCGGTAGTGGAAAATAATCTGAGTACAAGGCAGACTTGAAAGGCAGATCTAGAAATAGGGTGAGTTTGTACATGCCTGAATTAAAAAAAGRGGTCTTGTGAGTGTCAAGAAAATACAGCTCACAGAGTACAGCGTTACTCTGGTAAAAATAGTAAGCAGCGATTTCTCACTGTTCTTGCAGAGCTCTGCTGTTTATTATGTGATGTGAAATTGGTGAGCTGCAGTGGAATTTTTTTTTTTTTTCTTTTTTTTTTGCCTAGGAGTGGAAAATCCAACTTATAGCGGCATGGAACTGTGTGCCTGTGTGCCACTGGAAACAGAGCTCTGCTCTTGACACCCACCTCACGGCTCAGGCCGCTGTGCCGCATTGATTCGCGATTCCCTTCGGGTGCCGCGGCGGCCCCTTCCCTCGCCCTGCCCTTCCTCCCTGCGCCCTGCCCGGGCTGCGCGAGCCCGGCTCGCCATGGGAAATGCGCATTGCCATTGATTATTATTAATATTTAGTGTGTTTGTGAAAATGTCTTTTCCCACCGCTATTAATCTGTTATGTTAATAACGGCAGGGCTCCTGTCCTGGGCCCTGGGGAAGCCGCAGTGAGCGGAATGACAATGAGACGGTGACAAGAGCCGAAAAGCTCTCGCTTGGCAGAGATGTGAATTCCAATTGCAAGGTCTCCTTTTGGCGACTTGCAAATGCTTTATTCTTGCTCTGCCGTTGACATTCGGGACTGGGGGGAATATCCAGCATCATTTGTTAGTTTTGGGAGATCTCGTCTCACAGCTTTTTTTTTTGTTTTTATTCTAAGTAGGTAGCTTTTCTTTTAGCAGAAAAATTAGCTTGTGATAATTTTTTGAAGTTCTGTCTTATTACATGGCCAACAAAGAAATTTCTATAGGTAGAAACAATAGACATTAAAGGGAAAGTATTTTATAGCAAAAAAAACCAAGCAAACCACTGAAAAGCAGTGATATATTTTCTTTATAAGTCAAGACRTTTTCTTCAAGCATTCATCTCACCCTTTCCAGATTTTCTTTTGATAATGTTATTTTTATAGATTCTTCCTCAGAAATCTTTATTAACAACTGTATGTGAAATACACTGCATTTCCTTGTGATGCCTCATTGGAGTTACTATTTTGTAAATGGTTTAGCCCCAGAAATCCCAAAGACAAATATTATTTTCCGATGGTTTCAGCAGGGAAATAGTTCAGCCTTTTTTTTTTCCTTGAAATAACCCGCTTTATTCTGCATCCAGACAGACATTGAATTAATTTTTAACACAGCAGAATTTGCAGAAGTGACCTCTTAAGTTCAAATGTCAACTAAAACTCAGGGCATGGAGACGATCAGGTGGAGCGTGGTTACAGACATCACCTCCTCTACCAGTTGATTCGAATGGGGCCGTGTGTGGAAATATTTCTGATGCCTGGCTGAACTAGACTTTTGCTGGAAATATAATACTGGCATTTAGTGGAGAGTTATTTGGACACTTTCCCTGCTGGTTTTACTAGAGGAAAATGCGTATTAAGGAACACTTTGAAATATTGTTACAAGCTCGATTCTTCATTTCTGCCAGCAGAAATCCCTTAATAAAAGTGTATGAGTTTTTTTTTTTTTTTTTTAACTTAAAACTAAAGGCATTTTAAATTGGTAATACCTATTCTTTTACAGCCAAGGTCTGCAGAGACTATTTTTAGAATATATTTTTGAAAACATAGCCGATTAACTCATGTGCTCTTGTTTTTCATATCTCCCGTATAAGTTGTTCTTTGTTTCTTTTGAAGAAAAGAACTTGAATCAGCTGTTGCTCTGAGAGGTAAAATAATTAAAATAAGGACAATACAGACCATGAATATGAGATACGGATATACAAATTAAACCTGGGAAAGGGTTTACGTGTGAAAATGCTTGTTTTTATCACAGTCTCTTTCCTTTTCTTCCGTGCCGTTTCTTTGCCTCGTTCCTCCCTGTCTCCACGTCTGAATAACTCGGCAGTTCCTACAATTGCCCGGGACTAAATGGTTTTTCATGTATTCCGGGGCATCTGTCTGTGAGACGAGTGCGGGGAAGCGGTGACTCCTCAGCTCGGAGCGCGGCGCCTGGGCCGCGGTCAGCGGTGTCGCCCGCGGCCGCCGCGTCGCGGGCTGCTGCGCGGGACAGGTCCCGAACCCGCGGCGGCCCCAGGCCTTCGTGGGCGACGTGTCCGGCGCGGCTCGTCTGGAGGCGTTGCTGGCCCCGCGGGGTGGGAGAGCAGGGCTCCCTTCCGCGCTGCCCCTCAAACAGCGCCTTTGCAGCGGGCAAAGAGGAGGTGCTGGGTCGGAAACAGGCTCGGGGCAGCGCAAGGGAAGAGAAATATTATTTCAAGCAGGATATTCTTCGGTGTTTTCCTCGTGTRTTGGGGAAAAACGTTGACAGAGTTGTACCAAGTTACAGCAGAAGTGTCCGTTCAGCTAACAAGTTAAATTGAGGCTTGTTTTAACAGCCTAATTGCTCCAAGATGGGAGCGGGCCGTGGGCATTCCCTTTGGCAAGGGGCATGGGGGCCCACACACRTCCCATGTGTGACCGCCCGCCTTGCTGGGCATCAGTTCCCTACCTCTCCCTGGAGCTGCTGCTGGAAAGGGGGGGCCGTGGCCGCCCCGCCGGCCGTGCCAGGCGCTTGGGCGCTGCCGGGGCTCGGCCTTGTGCCCGGCCTCTGCTGCCGACCTCCTATTGTATTTCAGCTGTGGCCATCAGGTGGCAATCTGCTCTCTGGTATCTGCCCGCGCTCCCATCCCGGCCCTGCCCGCGGGGCTGCTCCCGCCGCTCGCTCCCCACGCTGCTCCCGCGCCCTGGCGATTCCTGGACAGCCTCCAGGGCCACGCGGGAGGCGGGCGGCACCTCCTGCAGCAAGGGGCAGCGCTGGAAGTTGTTCCACGTCTGCTGTAATGCAGCCCTGCCTTAGGGCAGCGTCCCTGTGGCCTGGCAGCAGCGTGCCCTTGAGCCCCGGACTCGTTATAGGCAGATGCAAAGGAGCCGCTTTGCGTCAACACCCAGATCCTTCGCTGCCTGCCGCCTCTTAGCTTGGGAAGACACCATGTGCGGCGGCGAGCGGGAGCTGCCGGGAGGCCCTGGGACGGCGCCGGGAGCCCCTGTGCGGGACGGGGACGGGGCCGTCACCGGTGCCGCTGTGCGGGACGGGGACGGGGCTGTCACCGGTGCCGCTGTGCGGGACGGGGACGGGGCCGTCACCGGTGCCCCTGTGCGGGACGGGGACGGGGCCGTCACCGGTGCCGCTGTGCGGGACGGGGACGGGGCCGTCACCGGTGCCCCTGTGTGGGCCGGGGACGGGGCCGTCACCGGTGCCGCTGTGCGGGACGGGGACGGGGCCGTCACCGGTGCCGCTGTGCGGGACGGGGACGGGGCTGTCACCGGTGCCCCTGTGTGGGCCGGGGCCGTCACAGTGAAGCGCACGGAGGCCCGAGGGGCTCTGCACCCTGTCTGTCAGCGTGCGTCACTTGGCCCTCTTAGATAAGGAGGCATTTCCATAGCGGAATTCTATGGAATAATTAAAGAAGGCCTTAAAAAGCAAATACAAAACCTGCCGCCCAAAACACCAAGCGTCTGACGCGTTTTCTCCTTTGCCAGCCTGTCCTTTGACGTTAGCTCCTTGTTCTGTGCCTGCAGACGCTACAGAGCCACGGTGAGGTCTGGCCAGGGCTGCGTCCTCGWCTCCGCTAGTGCAGAGGCCTTGTTGGTGTCCCGTGTGTGTTAAACCTGCACCCATACCCAGTTATCTGCAGAAACAGTCTTTCAGTGGGTCGTCTTATTGAGTAGTTTTGCTTAGGAGCTTTGAAGGAAATTTGAACTTGAAGTTGAAATTCAGAGTAATTTAAAACTTAATCAGGCCTGGACTGATTGCCCCTTGCGGGAGACCTGGGCCATGTTGGTCAGCAGCGACCTCGTTTATTCTCTGCCTCTGTTGCCCCGAGTTTTCACAGGTCGCCTTCTGCTAAACCTAGTCTTGCTTGTCAACTCRGTTGGAATTCCTGCTTCTTAAGTGCAAAAGAGGCTAATCATAGAGTAGAAAATAATTTGACTTGCTAATGCCAGGAGAGAAAACATTTACAGCAACCACAAGTATTTGCAGGATTGCAGAGYGCGTTGCTCGTGCAGTGTGAATATCGTGCGGCCACTGTGAATATTCCCACCTCAGTTCTACCCAAGTTCTGGGGGGAGGACTATCTTTTTGTTCTGCCACTACTTCTACCATATAGGATATAAAGTAAACTTCATGAAATTTTGTCCCGAGAAAGATGGGCTAATGTTCGCGTGAGTATTTCAGTGTGTTTTGTTCTGCTGTTTCCCCTTCCAGGTGACAGCGAGATTGTAAATAATATGTACGAGACGGACCCCGATCTCCTTGCTGGCGAAAGCGCAGAGGAGGAGACCGAGGACAGTATCATGTCCCCCATCCCCGTGGGGCCTCCGTCACCCTTTCCCACCAGCGAGGACTTCACTCCCAAGGAGGGCTCGCCTTATGAAGCTCCTGTCTACATTCCTGATGACATTCCAATCCCACCAGATTTTGAACTCAGAGAATCTTCGATTCCAGGGGCAGGGCTAGGGATTTGGGCCAAAAAGAAGATTGAAGTTGGGGAAAGATTTGGACCTTATATGACAGTACAGAGGAGCACGTTAAAGGAAGCAAACTTTGGATGGGAGGTAAGCACACTGGATGTGATTAATCACATTCATTTGTCTTCTCTGCTGATTGCTCATTAAGGTTGATGGAGTTGGGCCTGGCCTAGGGATAGGCGTGTGACTTTGCGAGTGCCGCTGTTCGGGATCACAGGTTTATATGCTATTTAAAAAACAACAGAAATGCTTTAGGATGGCWTCTTGGGCTACAAGTATTGCTCTAACACCATTAGAGGAAGGGTGGTTTTAAATGATGTTGGGTCACTTCTTAAAGTGCTTGTCATTTTCAGCTTGTGTTCAGAACTTGTCGCCGTGGAAGGAATAAGATTAATCGCATCATGTTCTGTAGTTGGGTGTGCTACCTTTGACTTCCAGCCCATGTTAGCTGTGCAGGCCTTATTAACTGCTCATAGTAAAATAACATGTATCCATTAACACCCTGGATGTTCCTGAGTTCTTGTTCTGCAACAAGGAAATAAATAGAAAAGTCATTTTCCTTAAGAGCCAAACAGAAAACAGTCTTCAATAGGAAGACCTACCCAATCCCGGAACTCTTGTGTTCTTCTCCTTGCTTCCCTGGGACTGTCCCAGAGATCTTGGTAGTCTCTTCTGCTCCTGTTTGCTTAATTTGAAGGCACCTTTCCCTACAGGACAAGTGCGGGAGCTTTGTTTTCTCAGAAAACCAAGTCCATAAGGCCACACGTAATGTAAAATATGCCTTGTGCCCGATGATATTTACACTTATAATTATGAAATCTGAAAAATTCGTGAACAGCTYGATTCTGTGAAGCCCTAAGAAATATATCCAGATATTCTTGTTCTTCTTTAGCGTGTCCCAAGCGCAGGAAAAAAGCAAAGGCACTCACTGTAAAAACAGTGCTCAGCCATATTTTGTAATTTCCTCTGCAGCAGCAAATTTCTAAAGTGCTAAAGTCAGGATTTGGTTGAATGAGTGAGTCAAGAGTTCCCTTATCTCTCCCTCTCCCTCTCCCTCTCCCTTTCCCTCTCACTCTCCCTGTTTCCTTGGAGAATAAGATTGGAAAATCCTTCTAAAATTCTTTAGCCTGACAATTGGCAGCAAAAGGAAAAAAGAAAAAGGATGTTTTTTGTCACTCTTAGCTCATGTTGACTAGATTGCTGCCTCCATCTGTTGTTTCTTACAACAGTGATGGATCTATCGCAGTGATCCAAGGACTGGGTCTGTACTTCTACACTAATAAGCGTTCCCTGCAGTTTGATGTTTTTTGAAAATACTCTTCTGTAACCTCTGGTTTTGACTTTGATGATTTGATGGACATTCTTGTTCCTAACTCCTTGTTGCTGGCTAATTGAGATATGAGTGCTGTGGTTCAATTGCCTCTTCTATCCAGTATATTAGTATTTTTAAATCAAGAAAATGGTAGTTGTGCACACACAAACTTCTTCTATTTTGATAGTCCTCATTTCATGTCCTGTAGTTCATGCTCTTGAATGGGAGCCCTCTAGCTCCAGGAGGTAAAAGAAGGTATCTCTTGTTCAAAGTTTCAGCTTACTCATTATTTCCCCTAGTAGCCCCAAACATCATAGGAAATACCGAAGGCCATGTCTGACCTTGAAAGAAAAGCTATGTAATGTTTGTTGTTACAGGTATTTATATATTTATACTTACGTATTTATATATTATAGGTATCCCAATCTATTTTATTCCTCTACTGTCTTGGTTTTTATATRTTTTTCCTCAAGCATTTGCCTTCATCAATATATATTTTTAAAAATACTCCTTAATTTAAACCTCACCTGTTATCCAAGGGCTTTTATAAGAARGCACAGCAGCGAATGATTCACTTATCAACCAAAACTAAGGGAGAGCTGCTGGTGTTTCCCTTCGCAGCCCGTCCCGGGGGCGATTCAGCAGGTGCCCGGGATTCAGCAGGGTCCCGGGAGCCTCGCTGCGCCGCCTCCTGCAGCTCCAGTGCTCGCCAGCTTTGGCTGCTGGGTTTTCTTCCAGCTGCTTTGCTGGAGGAAGGTGCAGCCTGAAGGCTCGTGCTGACCACGTGCAGCGGGGCTGCCTTGCTGCTCGCTCCTGCTCCTCTTGCCCAGGGACACAGCACGTGCCGTCCAGGGTACCCCCAATCAACCACACTGCGGTTTCACTTTCTTGCTGCTTAGGCCTTAAAAAAGTGCGTTTTGGTTGTGGGGAATGATTTTCATCACTTTTTTTTTTTGAGTAAATAGTAGTGTTTATAACAGCACTGTTTTGTTTTGCTGGGAGGGGAGTGGGAATCGCATCCTGGAGGGAAATACAGTGACCAAATTCCAGGGACTTTGGAAGGTTTTCAGGTATGTTTTTAGCTCAGCTTGCTTCGCAGAGTACATACCATTTATAACATATAGTGCCTTCGTTTGAATTTTTATTTTAAGAGAGAATGTTTGCTGAGACACAAGAGAATTTGGGGCCTCATGGAGATGAGAGACTTGACTTTTACATATGAAAGATCTATGCTTTCATTTAATATTTTAGGTCGAAGATGGAAACTGTCCCATGAAAGACAAATAGCTGTAGATAAATTAAGAATAAGCAGCTAAGGATGCAGTGAGAGTCCCTGGCTTCTCATCTGTGTCAGTTGAAAACTGCTGTCTTTGGAATACCGGGGATGCTTTCGGCGTCAGTGATTCATAGCGCTTCAACCTCCTTGCTCCCACAAAAGAGAGTATTCTGTGGTGTGTTTTGTTTTATTTTGCTTTAGAAATACATACATATGCCAACAAACATTTATTTCACAGAAGTAGCTTTGATTGCAGAGGGGAGAATTACGTTGTATTTTCTTGGGCCTAAAATACATAGAAGAAGGAAGGAAAATCTGAACATAGTTCCAGCTGTGATGCTTTTGTAGGATTTCTCCGTTAGGAACATGCAACCCTAATTCTCTCGTTTCATTTAAGACTCTGACACWGCTTGTTTAAAAAAAGTGAATGGTGCTTAAAGAAGGATGTGAGCTCTTTAGATGAGCAGTCTCCAAACCTTTGCACTCGCCTCTTTCTAATGTTCTTTTAACTTTTAGACTGAAAGGAGGTGATGACATTTCCTTGTAGATTTTCACGTGTCTTCTGATTCATTCTTTTTTTTGGCCTCTGCCTTTCCCTTTGGCTTGAGGAGAATGTTAGTCTAATTGCCGTTGTTGCTCAGGGAAAGACTTTATGAATCGCTGTGTTCAGAACTGCCTTTCGTGCTCCTGCGAGGAAGGAGCAGTGCTGGAAGCTGCTGAGGATGGTGCACATGGACATGCCCTAGACAGAGCCCGTGTCTGGTTAAAACAAACAGAAGCCGAAAAAAAGGAGGGGAAAGTGGTTGCATCAAAGGCAAAATCCCATTCTCTACAACTAAAACTGCAGGATGGGGGTTAGTTAATCACCTTCAGCTGTGGATAGAAATGAAAAATGCATTTAATAGCATCCAAGTAACGTGATTGAAATTTGTACCATTTTTTGATGTTTCAACATCAGGGTTAAAAGAGTGAGTCTTTTTTAGGCCCGAGAATGCCAAGATATTTTTCTCTATCTTAGGCACTTCTCTAAAACATGGGTATATAAGGAATTAAGGGGGGAAAAAAAAGAAGAGACAGGGAAAGGGAATGACTAAGAATACCTCCTGATATTTCTCTTTTATTTCCATAAGGGGTAATAACTCATGAGGAATCCGGCAGAGGGCACTTTCTTTAAATAGAACATTCTGATTCACAAGCAGAAAAAGGAAATAAATATTTTCTTTTCGTCTTCAAGAGACATCCATGAATACCAGCTTCAGAAACAGTATTTTATCATCTGCACTTAAAAAGGGGTGGGGTGTTGGGGGAAATCCCAGGAATAGCTCAGTGGCGACCACAGGATTTGAAAAATAGCTCTTTTCCTTGTCAAAAGCCTTGCGGGATGCAGGACACGATTTCTTCCTCTGGAATTTCAACTTTTGTACAAGTCCAACCTTTATTTTCCTCCTGTCCTGGAGAAGTTCGACTGTCGGAGCATTAGAACACCCGTTTTTTTGTACAGGAAATGGTGGATAAGTTAGAATTAAACCATAAATGTGTATGGCAGTTAAAGGGAGGCCTCATTGCAGGGACTGTTTTGCAGTTTCAGGAGGCAGGAGCACCGCGATGCTCTGCTGTTCTCGGGGTATTTCTACGGGGCGATTGGCGGTATTGAGAGCACAGCCCTTGCGCTAGGGTGAGGTAGGAGTGGCGGGATGGCGTGGAGCCCCGACATGCACTAGCAATAGAGCAAAGCAAGCTTGAATGAGCCGGTGAACTGCCCCCAAAGCTGCCCAGGCCTCTTTCCCGCCGCAGGGCCACCCACTCTTCGCTCGCGCTGTCCCTTGTGGGATGAACGACTCTTCCCGTGGCAAAGATGGAGCAGCACTGGGGAGCTGCTGGCTAGAGCAGCTCGGGGGGATTGCAGCACTCTCAGGTTGTGGCGCTTTGGTAGCCGCTTAATTGTCTCCGTAGATGCAAGCAATTTATGCTGTGACATATAGATCATGTACGTACATTCCGCGTGAGAGCGGGCGGCCGTGGGAGCGTTTCCCTGGGAATTGCGGAGCCGCTCGCGGGCTGTAACCCGCACCCCGTGCCGCGTCCGTGCCGCTCCTCGCCGCGCCGGTGCCTCCTGCTCCGGGCCCTCTCTGAACGTCAATGGACGGCAAGGACATTCGAGGCGCAGCACGAGGGGAAGCCCTCGGCTTGCTCGGGTTCCAGGCTGGCCAGAGCAGCAGCGACTCCGTGCTGTGTTTGCGCTGGTCAGCGGCACGCACGTCCCAGGGGGGTGTGTAAATAAAGGAGAGGCCKCTCGGGTGGCACGGCCGTTTGGGAGCGCGGCAGGAGGCGCAAACCCGGGGGCCTCGCCAGGGCTTGCCTCTGCYTATGGGCCTTGCTGCAGAGAGGCACAAAATGGGCTTAAATTAAAGGCGCTCCTCCCTGGTGGGTATTCTTGYCCTTGTGTCCTGCTCCTGGTGCCTTCAGTGGAGCTCTCTCGAGCTGCTGTATGCAACTCGG